GCCCCCCCCCCCCCCCCGCCAACTGGGGATCGAGCCCGCAACTTCGGGCATGTGCCCTTGACTGGAATTGAACCTGGGACCCTCCAGTCCGCAAGTCGATGCTCTATCCACTGAGCCAAACCAGCTAGGGCCCCGGCAACATTTTAAAAAATTTATTGACTTTAAGTGTTGATGAGTTTAAAACTTTTATTTTCTTATTTGTGTGTTTTTTTGTTTTTGTTTTTTTTTGGTATTTCTCTGAGATCTAGATATTTAGTATTTGTGGCCTTTCTTTCACTGTTGGCCTGTCGTGTTCTAGTGAACTCTTCTATATGCTTTTACAAATAGTACAGTTGATATCATAAGGTAATAAAAATAATAGATGTAAATAATGGCTCTGGGTTTTACGATTTTTCTTCTTTATTGTTTTATTCACCTGATTTAACTTTTTAGCTCAGGATTAGCATCCTGCAACATTTTTCCTGGGCATCCCTTTGAGAGGATGAGCTTCCATTTGAAGCAGTGACCTTTAGCTTTTCTCATGGAAAGAGGTCTCCTCCATCACTGCACAAAAACAGTCTTTGTCCCTCGGGGCTAAAAAGTTAACAGCTACAGTAACATGAAAGCCATTCTTTCAAGGGCACAGTTGAGTAATTCAACTGAAATGAGAAGATATAAGAAAAAGATTCCTTTATCTAGAATGTGTAAAAGAAGAGAGAAGTTGAGAAAGTTCAGGACAATTTGAACAAATATTAACGCCTTTTATATATGACTGTAGGAAGAGATCATGGCTTAACAAACCCGATTTTGTCTTTTGAATTGATACTGATCCTTGCTAGCACATTAGTTTTATAGAAATTGTGTGTCATTTTTCTTCATCATAATCACACATAGGACCTAATGTATTTTGTATTCAGCAAATGGCTGAAAACCATTCAGTAAAACTTATCTGGTCTTTGATCATTCAGCTAATAAGTTGGTTAGACATTTTGTTGGCTAATTGAACATAAAATGCTCAAGCTGTTTGCCCATTTCTGTTTAAGATAAATTTTGTTAATATGTTGAATTTCCTCTTACTGTGCTTCTTTCTTTTCTGGGCACTGTTTCTGTGCAAATTTTTAAACTTCAAAGAGCAAAATAATGGAAAATGTGCAGACCCCAAGATAAGGTGCAGACATTGCTTTTTTAGGTTTTAAACCTCTCCTTTTTTTCAGTATTTGATGATTTTCACTGTTTATATCAGTGGTTCCCAAACTTATTTGGCCTACCGCCCCCTTTCCAGAAAAAATATTACTCAGCGCCCCCTGGAAATTAATTTTTTTTAAAATTTTAATAGCAATTAAACAGAAAGATATATGTATTAATGTTTCTACCTTTTTTGTAAAATATAGTAAAGAAAGGTGTAAATTAGAAACATTGAAGTTTGAAATTATGAAACTATTTATTGAACTCAGAATAGAAAGGTAATACAAAAAAAGTTAAAACAAATGCACCTGTGGCCATCACCGCCCCTCTGGATTGCTGCAGCGCCCACCAGGGGGCGGTAGCGCCCACTTTGGGAATCACTGGTTTATATAATATGCAGTCTCTTAATGTGTCACATTTAGTTCGTGATGTTTATATTAGCAGATATTTGGTCCAAAATGTCTACTGAGACGTTTGGTGCAAGCCAAAAGGACCTTGACTTTTTTTTTTTTTAAGTTTATTGACTCTTTTTTTAAGAGAGAGAGAGAGAGAGAGAGAGAGAGAGAATAACATTGATTTGTTGTTACACTTATTTATGCATTCATTGGTTTGTATGTGCCCTGACCAGGGATTGAACCCGCAACTTTGGCATATCAGAACGACACCCTAACCAACTGAACTACCCGGCCAGAGCAAAAGTTTCTTCAAATTTGGTCCTGTCCAAATGTCCATGATTAAAAAACATCTGTGGTTTCAGATAGCCCATGATATTTATTTATACTTGTGGGTTCATACATAAAAATACTACCATGTTTTATTGATCCAGTAATTGGTTTTGACTGTATTATCTATACTAATAAAAGGGTAATATGCTAATTAGACCGGATAGACCAGACGTCTTCCAGACATCATTCTGGACGTCCTTCCGGACAAAGCCACAGTGGCGGGGGCGAGGCAGAGGCGGTTAGGGGCAATCAGGCTGGCAGGGGAGAGCGGTTAGGGGCAATCAGGCAGGCAGGCAGAGGGGTTAGGGGCAATCAGGCAGGCAGGCAGGTGAGCCGTTAGGAGCCAACGGACCCGGATTTCAAGAGGGATGTCCGACTGCCGGTTATCCCCCAAGGGGTCCTGGATTGGAGAGAGTGCAGGCTGGGCTGAGGGACCCCCCCCACCCCCCCTGCACGAATTTTGTGCCCCGGGCCTCTAGTCAATAGTAATGCTTCCTGCCTTGGTAGCCTAGCTGGTAATGACACATGGAATAAGTTAAATAGGTGGGTGTGGATCAAATGTCTCTGGGTATTTTGATACAGGACCAAATATCAAGGACCATACGTCTCTGTGAATGTTTTAGGCAGGACCAAATGCTCTGCAAGGGTTAAATAGGATGCACTGTTTTCTTTTTAATCTGTTTATACAATTTATTATTTAACCAAAGGTTATCTATGCCCTAGGGCTACTGTTGCTCAATAACATGCAATAATGAAGGTCATATAGAGCACTGAAGTTGCTTATGTTTCTGGAGCTTATATATATATTTGAGACCTTCAGTCTTCTCAGAAGCTCAGGGCATGCTGACAAATTTTATGATTTTCCAGTTTATTTTATGTTTATTATTCACCATATTATAGGTAGTTTTGTTGGAAATGTGTTAATAAATGTAGCATCAGGCAGTTTTATAAGCCTTTTAGAATGTGGTTTGTCTCTTCTAACACAAGGAATTGGAAGAAGTGTAGAGCTGGGTTTTCCGAAGTGTGTTTTTGTACAATACTAATTCTATAGATCATTAATGAATATTACATGGGAAAAAATAGTTAATTGGGAAACATAGGGTTAAGTAATGTTAAATAGGTTTCTTTCTTGAAGGGCTTTAAAATTTTTTTTCTTATGATGGTGCTTTGTGAATTCCTGAGAGGGGAATGAATCTACAAAAATTTGATCTTATGTTTACAATATTATACTCCTTTGTTTATAGATTTTGGGGTATTTTTTACTTTTTATTGTGCTTATTTCAGGTTAATAATTGAATTCTTTGCTTTAATTTTAAAGGTATTTCTTCTCAGGTATCTGGAGGTTTTAGCATATAATTTGAAAATATAACTAGCATATTCTTTAAAAAGATGTTTACCCTATATTTCTTTTCTGGACTCACTCTGTATTATAGGATTTTTAAGATATTTTCATTTCGGAGTCTTTTTTATATGGATCATTTCAGGGACTTATGTTTCATGCAACAAATATTTATACAATGCTAATTCTGTGTGCCAGGAAGGTTAAGTGACTTATTCAGAGTCTCAGGGTTAGTAGGTAGCTGAGCAGGCTGGCTTCAGTCTGTGCTCTTACAGCTTTGCTGTGGATACTTCTTTTGATACATCTTGCCACTTAGCTCTCTCAAAAAAGGATTGCACTTATTTTTAATCAGTTTAACCAGAACTTACTGATATTGAATGATAAAATATTAAGAAAACAGCAACAGCTTAATAGATACAAAATGATGTACTTTTATTCTGTAAAAGTACATGATGAAGTAGATTAATTTAGAAATAAAGCTATAAGTTAAATGTTTGTTAATTAAAAACAGCTTTTCTAGATGATTATTTTTTACCATTAGAAATTTGAAAGTAAAGGGGACATTGACTAAGGTTATTGCTAAAGGAAATGGTATTTTGGTGATTCCTAGGATGAGTCTTTAGAGACAGATCACATTGTTTAATAACTTGATTTGGCAAATATTTTGTAGTAGAGATATTTAATTGTATAAAAATATCACAGTTTTGCCCTTGCTGGTTTGGCTCAGCGGATAGAGCGTTAGCCTGCAGACTGACGGGTCCCGGGTTCAATTCCTGCAAAGGGCACATGCCCGGGTTGCGGGCTTGATCCCCAATGGGGGGAGTGCAGGGGGCAGCCAATCAATGATTCCCTCTTCCATCATGTTTTTATCTTTCTCTCTCCCTCTCCCTTCCTCTCTGAAACCAATAAAAATATATTTTTTTTAAAAAATCACAGTTTTGAGAAGTTTTCTATTTGTCAGTGATAATCTTTAAAATTATTTAAGATGAATATTTAGAACTCTAAGGGCACTATTTGCTTATAGTTAAAAATTAAAGACCATGCAGGGGGGTGGAAATTAAAAAGTAAAACCCTCCCTTGTCCCTAGTCCCCTACTCTCAAATGTACTAGATATATAAAAATCATCCACTATCCCATCTGCTGTTCTTATTTTCCAGCTGTAACTACTAGTAATTATTTGTAACATTTATTTTTTATGTAAAAGTCTAACTTCTTTTTCTCTTTTTTTTTGTGGTGGAGCTGTGAATTTTTTGGAATTGTGAATATTCTTTTGAAATATGGAGTCCAGCTAAATGAACTTCATTTGGCATACTGCCTGAAGTATGAGAAATTTTCAGTATTTCGTTACTTTTTGAAGAAAGGTTGCCCATTGGCACCATGGAACCATATGTCTGAATTTATAAATCATGCAGTTAAAGCACAGACGAAATATAAGGAATGGTTGCCATCTCTCCTGCTTGCTGGATTTGACCCACTGAATCTTCTATGCAGTTCTTGGTAAGAAATCCTACAATAGTGGACCTTACCTTTTTGAGTGAATATACTATATTTAAGTTCCCTCAATTTCTTGAGATCTGGTGTTGGGATGAGGGTGTGTGTGTATGTGACTCTGATGGCTGGATTGGGGGGCTGCTAATAGCGAGATTGAATGTAGGGATAGATTCCTAGAAAAAGGTAGGACATGACTGGAAGGGAGTAGAAAGGGATTATCCCTATGGACTATAGAAGCAAAAGCAAAGTTTAGATACACATTCTCATCTCCACTTAACTTTTTGTTTAGTTTACAGCAGGTTGAGTCCCTGATAGTATTCACTCCTTTCTCCAACAGCTGATTAACACATAGTTATCTGTCAAATGCTCATTTGTGCACTTCCCTCTATATCTTTTCAATACAGTTTCACTGAAACATTGTATTTTTAAGACAAATTGAATGAAAAAAAGATTATTGGCAGTTTATTTAGAAATCTTAGATTTTAAAAAGTTATTTGTATATGTATACTGTACTTGTCTTATTAACAGATACACACTCACACACATGCAGCTGAGATATAAATATTCGCTAATGAATGCTGTGTCTAGCTGTTAACAAAGCTATTTAAGTACCCATAACATTTTACTTAGTGAATTTTATTGTTGTGTTTGGGTGCCTGACAGCTAGCTGCAGTTGCCCCTCACCATTCTAGGATTTACTCCCTGACTCTAGCTGGAAATCCAGCCCCGAAAGGTGGGTGGCTGTGGACAGACAGCCTTGACAGTGTGTCCCCTTTACTCTCTTCCCTCACTTGGTGCTTGTCCCCCAGGCACCACTTTCTTCTCAGCCACACTCTTTGTGTTCTCCTACTGAAGCTACTAACTCAACTCCATATTACTTGCCTGTTACTTTCAGTTCTCTGGTTTCTAGTATATGTATTTCTAGTTTCTAGTTTATTTCTTTAACCAACACTTAGAATACTACCTAACGCATGGGGGGCATTATTTTAAGTTCTTTATAGTAACTTATCCTACATAATAAAAGCCTAATATGCTAAGTGTCCAGTTGTCCGTTCAACCAATCAAAGTGTAATATGTTAATGATATGCTAAGGCTGCTCAACCGCTTGCTATGACGTGCACTGACCACCAGGGGGCAAACAGTCCACCAGTCGACCAGTCGCTATGATGTGCACTGACCACCAGGGGGCAGACGCTCCGACCAGTAGATTAACTTGCTGCTGGGGTCTGACCAATCAGGACTGAGTATGATGGGTTGGACACTCCCCGGAGCCCTCCCGTGGTCCCTCCCTGGCTGACCCACCTCCTGCATCCCTCCCCAGCCCCAAGGGGATTTTGGAGAGCTGGTTTCAGCCCGATCCCGCAGGCCAGGCCGAGGGACCCCACTGGTGCAAGAATTCATGCACCAGGCCTCTAGTTTACTATAAAATACACTGGATACTATTATTTTTATTTTACAATTGAGGTACAGTAATTAACATACTTGCCAAGCTCACACAGCTAGTTAGTAGAGCTTAGTTTTGAACCCAGGTTGTCCTTTTTGTGGCTTAAGTCTGTCTTTCTAACCACTGTGCTATGCTGCCTTAGTCCTGTGTATCCATGGGGATATGTTGCTTATATCACGTGATTTCAAGTATTTTAATCGTTTGCCTATCCTGGGGGGATCTATGCCATATTACCTTGCTCTGCTTTGCTCCTCAATTAGGAAGAACCTATGCAGGGGGGAAAATTAAATATTGCCCTTTTTCCTTTCTTCCTCAGCCAATTACATAGACTACTGGAAGGAGAGGGAATTATTTAGATTTATTCTCCTAGAAGGTTTTGTAAAATATACTCTCCCATTCAGTTCTGAGAGGCCTCCCTCTCCCCAATGTGAATAGCCCATTTGATAATTTTTGTGGTAATAAGCCATTAAATATAGTATAAGCTGTATTTATTGGGTGGGTTAGGATATAAAGGAATTAAGAACCCATAAACTACGAATTTCTTTGAAATAAATTGTAAAACTTGCAGCTATTTGGACTGAGAATGCCAATTGCATATGGTTTACTCAGAAGGGGTAACTTTATATTCATTAGAAAATTTCACTTCAAAAAAAATGCTTAACATGGTCAAATTTTTGTTCTCTGATCTTCTATTGAATGGATAAAGCCAGTGTTTACACTGAATATGATAAATGTTTTGCTTCCTTTGATCAAATTTACATTCATAGATAGAGCTGTTATAAGAAAAATTCTCCCATAAAATTCCAATATGCTGTTAAAGTGGATTTTGGTTATATCTTATTTATATCACATGAAAGTCAGTTGCTTAATCTTTGTCATGTAAATTATAAATGTCTTTCCTAGGTATTTTTTGTCTTAAACGTTCTTTAAAAATGTATCTGGCTGAATAATTGCCTATCACAATATAATCTACAGAGTTGAAATATTTTTTTCAACTTTAAATGCAACACTAGGTGCCTCCAACTGAATGTAATAAGTAATAGAAAGTAAATGTCATCCGTGCATTTAGTTGATTAACTGTCATTCATTTATGATTGTACAACTGCTTCGTACAACATAATGGTCAGAGTAGTACAGTAACAATACATTTTTAGTGGCATTATCAGCATTGGTAAAATTAGTTATTTTATCTAAAGCTGTGTAAACAGGTTTATTTCTTGTGTGTGTTTAGATAACTGAATAAAAATGACTTAGTATTTGGTCCCAGTGTGACTTAAAGCACATTAATGCAGACAAATGAAACCATTACAAAAGAAATAAGGAACCCAAACCAAGTAACCTTGGTGTGGAGTTCCTAGAAAGTCAAGGAGATTTTTTTGCCCTTGAATATACTTTATCATTTTATTTGTTCTAGTAGTTCCTCAAAGTTGTGATTTCATTGAAAGGTTCTTTAGAAGTAAAATGTTTTCCCAAGGCATGTGTGCAACATTGAGTTCTTTGTTATATAGAAGTTTGCGTATTAGAGAATTAAGAATCTGGGAAATAATTTTCATACTCTGATCAGTCATTTCAAGGATACTTTGACCCTGAATTATAAAAAGTAAATTGTCTTTGAGATGACAAGTTTAGAGCATTTTATTTAGTTTCTTTCTTTTCTTTTTATTTCCCCCCTTCTTTAGTCCTTGCTCAATAATGAGTCCAAAAAATGAACAAACCAAAAAACGACCTTGAAAAGAATTTCTCTTTTTAAAGTAATTACTAGAGGACGTAATCATTTTCTTTTTCTTCAGACAGTGTGATGGTAGGGGAGTACCTAATTGAGTACCTAATTGAGTAATTGTTAGAATGTATAGTTCTCATTACACTTGGACTATATTTCATGTTATCAGGCCTAATGAAAATTTCAAACCAGTTTCTAGTAATATCAAACATTTATATAACATTTTATAGTTTTAAAAGTATGTTTATTGTATTTTCTCATATTATTTTCACAATTAGTCCCCTGAAATAGGTTGAGTATTATTCTCATTTTAGAGGACCGGGATCAAGGGCTTGAAGAATTTTAGCAACATGTTTGTAAATAGTGGAGGTAATATTAGAACTCAGAAACTGTCCTAGACCAGTGCTCTTTCCATTAGATTCAAATGCTTATAAAATTTGGGGAAGTCTCTTTTGGGTAGGTTGGTAGGAAATCTGAAATTATTTTTTAGAAATAGAGAACTGTTCTGAAGACTTGCTTTTGGTTCTTAGAGACAAAACTGATTCTGCTACATTCCTTAGAGCTGAATCTATAATGCACAAGGTTCTTAGAGGAGAACAGTTGCACATCCCTGGGAGTTGGGCAGAAGCAAGCTGTCTCTCCCGTATACTTAGTTTAGGGATAATTTGGGTATTTGGGCTTTATCCTTTCAAGACTTTTAAAGCAAGATGGTCCAGTTGGGAGGAGATAATGGCAAATCTGCTGAGGACACTGATTGCTGTCTCTGTCTTTTCTTGACACTGCTGCTGGGGAGTTGGAAGGAAAGTTCCTACCCTCTCTAAGAGTAGAGTTTCCTCTTGTCATCTGTTAAACAACTCACACAGTCAATTCAGTTTGCTTTAAGAACCTGTAGATGATTATTCATATCCACTGAACTTGCCTCCAATTACGTGAATATTTTCTCTGCTGTAGTTTTATGCCTTCCTTAGTAAGGTGTAAGAATAGGTATGTGGTGTTTATTTTCAGGATGAATCCTTGATGTATTTGGTGTCTAATGGTGCATTAACATCTTGCTAATACAGGACTGACTCAGTCAGCGATGACACCCTTATCTTTACTTTGGAGTTTACTAATTGGAGGAGACTTCCTCCAGCTGTTGAAAAGAAGCTCTCTGCTCGTGTCTCAAACTCCTCGTGGGCTCTACAGCAACATATTGGTAAGAAAGTACAATTTTTAGAGACACATGACTATGTTTTCTTCTCTTCTCTAGTTATATTGTAATTTTAAGTAATGAGAGTTGTCGGAGAATATATTAAGTAGGGCATCATTTGCATTTTATTTATGTGGAGAAAGGATGGGACTGGGAGGGGGATGATAATAATTTCCTTCAACAAAAATCATATCTGATTTTATAAGGTTAGCCTAAGGGGCATATAAAGAAAAGGAGGTATTTACTGATATTTTTATTTAATGATATCCTTTTAACTTTAGTAAGTATTATGTTAACAAAATGAGTACTAAAAATCTTGTTAGTGAATGTTTAGTTTGTTAGAAAAATGCTAAACTTAATTTTCTTTTCCAGGATGTGTTTGTATTTGTGTTCTCTCTTAAGTATTTTATCATTTCTAAAAGGAAGTATTACCATCCTTTATTTCTACCTGTCCTTACTGAATGCATGCTGATGTGTTGGTATAAGTATGGAGGTGAGCTGGGTGAAAATTCTGTGAATTGATTGATATTTTATTTTATTTATTTATTTTTTTAAGTATTTTATTGATTTTTTACAGAGAGGAAGGGAGAGGGATAGAGAGTTTGAAACATCGATGAGAGAGAAACATCTATCAGCTGCCTCCTGCACACTCCCTACTGGGGATGTGCCCGCAACCAAGGTACATGCCCTTGACCGGAATCGAACCTGGGACCCTTGAGTCCGCAGGCTGATGCTCTATCCACTGAGCCAAACCGGTTAGGGCTGATTGATATTTTATATGACTGTTTTAAAACAAATTCTCAATTTACTCTCAAATCGATATTTTATGACTGTTTTAAAATAACTTCTCAACTTACTCTAGCTTATTAAAAAGTTTTTAAAGTCCTGGCTAGTGTGGCTCAGTTGGGTGCCATTCTGTGCACTGAGAGGTTACTGGTTCGATTCCCGATGAGGCCACATGCCCAGGTTATGGGCTCGATCCCCAGTAGGAGTCATGCAGAAGGCAGCTGATCCATGTTACACACTCACGTTGATGGTTCTCTCTTCTCCTTTCCTCTCTCTCTAAAAATCAATATAATATTCTTTTTAAAAAAGTTTACAAGCTAATTAAAACAATTACAGAGCATGTAGTAGGAGATTTTACACAAGGAAACCAGTTTAAACATAATATATGCAAAATATTCCTATTTTGTTATTTAGAATTATTTTACTTTAACTTCATTTTGTTAACCAGATTATGTATCTTAAGAAAATTATTTCTTCACTGCTATTTTTACATGAAATGTAACTACATAAAACATGTTGAATAGGTTTTTAACAAGTGAACTTATGCATATGTAGAAATGTCTTATTTCTCAGATAATTACATTTAAGTAAATTTTCTCAATCAAAAACAGACATTCAGGAAAATATGCTCTTGAACTGAGATATATTCAAACTGTTGGAGAGGTTTCTGTGGAAGAAAAAAGTAATCTGGATTCTCTGAGCCTTCTAGTACAGAGTTTTTAAAATGGTAATGTTGGAAAACTCACTGGCATGCAATTCTTAATGTTGAGAATTGCATGTGCTTTTACTAATTATGTATCTTCAGCAGTAGAGAACAGTTATCCATCCAGAACAGATAGACTATGGGCAATGGACTTGGGAACAAAAAATCAAAAGAGAAAGCATATGCCAAATGGGAAAATTATTGCAGCTTATCAGTAAAGATATGCGAGAGTTTACTTGGAAGACTTTAACATACAGCAAGTTTGTCCAGATGAAGGTAAAAATTGTGTATGAGTACATTACCCTGCAATAGACTGGCTCCACTAAGGGCTTCTTATTTAGGCACTAGGTAGAGCTTGTGTAAGGTAATAATCATCATCTTAGATCATTTGAATGTTGGCAGGAGGGCAGGCCAGAGATGCATGGTTGTGGGAGGTATAGATAGTGGGTATGTGTGATGTATGTGCAGTTCTGTGCTATTGTAAAGTTGGCATTAATAAGCATGATGCATTAAGAATTGGGTTTATTTTGATCATTGTTTTGATTTTAATAAAACTTCCTATAACAAGTATCCTATTTTGGATTGTTCTTCTGTCAGTACATACAACCAAATGAACAAAATTGGAGAATTCCATATAAGAATGAAAAGTTAAAGGTTGCCTGTCTGCTAGTAGATCTATAGATAAATTTGATTTAACATAATTGAAAATGATTTGGTCAGAAAAGTAACTTAAAAGTACAGCATGATTTCAGACATAATTTTCTAACTATGATTAGTACCACACTCCAAGAAGAAAGAGATTTATTTAATAAATTGAAATCTGGTTTTAACAGGTTTTCATGAAAGTGTGTTTTACCTACAGCGTCTGGGCTTTTTCATACTCTAAATGCAGGGCATGGCTCCATCTTCTCAGCCTCGTGGCAACACATCTGGGAATGTTCTGCATCACTGAAACTTTCACAGGAATTTTGAGTGATTTGAAATACCACATAGATGATTATAAAATTCCCTTATTCAGTGGCATAATAAACTAAGATGGCAGTGATGGGCATATTATTATCTGTGTTAATAATGTACAGATGAAAGACTGCTTCAGTTCAAATGAATATGGTTTAGACCTCTAATTGTTCATCAGTGATCTATGGTGCTCATGGAGGGGCGGGGAGATCAAAATGGTACAATTAAAGTTAGGGCCAAAATCTGAAATAACTATGCTATTTCCTTTTTTAAAAAAATTATTATTATTATTATTATTGTTATTATTATTATTATTGTTATTATTAAGTGGAAAGATCTCCTAAAAGTTTCAGTGGCTTAGAAGATGTTAGAGAATTATTTTAGGTTTAATCACAGTTTAAAGAACCTTAGACTTGAAGTCAAATCACTTGATTCTGGTATCAGATATGTTGTTGATTGACAGTGTCAACATGGGCGGGTCACTTAAGCTTTCCATAACAAATGTGTACTGGTCCAATTTGGCTTGATTGCAAATGATTAAGCTTCCACACATATATTAGCATAAACAAACAAATGGTTTATTTAGCTTTAAAGGGAGGGTTACCGTGATGCAGTCAGGTGACCTGGAAAGGCTTATCAGCACTGCAGAAAGCTGTGGGGCAGCAGAGGAGCTCCCCTCAGTCAGCCCAAGGAGTTTGTAAGCGAGCATAGTCTGTCAAAATGGAGAAGCTGGAGAAGCACTAAGGATCCCTTATCCCTGAGTGAGCAGCTCTCTGGGCCACACAGCCACCCTTTATCTTTATTCTGGGTGTGTAAAAGGGATCTACATTAATAGGAACATGCCAAATGAAGAGATAGATGTCAATTTAACAGCCAACCTCACTTTTACCCATGCACTTGTCAGTTCCTCTGTCAGTCTCATCCATCTGTGCCCATGGCATGCTCAGTGTTTGCAGCCAACATACTTCTTTCCCCACCAGGGACATTTATGACATTTGTGATTTAGGACTAATTATTGTTCTTGATCTCATTGGGTAAAGAGACTTACTTTTTTGTTAGGGGTGGGGAACGTCCGGCCTGCGGGCCATGTAAGGCCTGTGAAATCATTTGGTCTGGCCCTGCCAAAGCATTAGGGTGAGTTAATTAAATGTTTGACCAAATATAGCAGGCTAATTTTCAAGTGGATGTGGATAATTTTGTATGTCCCTTGAATGATGTTATAAATATCCAAGTGGCCCTAGGCAGAAAAAAGGTTCCCCACCCTAGTAATAGGTAATAATTGAACATAGTTAACCTACTTGTTGAAGTTGAACCTGCTTACTCCTTTGGAAAACTAGGAGGGGGGTAGTTGCAGTTTGGGTATGCTCCCCATATGTACTCTTGCTAATCCCTCCAGTGCTCCCTTCACCAGTGTTTTCCCATCTTAGGAGTGAGAGTGATGATTCTTCCTTTAAGATTATAGAACGGGGTAAAGTTTAAATGAGATAAAGACACGAAAACACTGGAAATAAATGTATTATATATTGTAGATTACCAGTATGTAGTCTGATTTATAATGGGGAGTCTATGACTCATGGTTTAAGAAAATACTCATCTTTTTTTAGCTTAGGTTTATGTACAAAATCAGATAATTGTTTTGCATTTCTTATTTAGCATTTTGAAACACTGGTTCAAGGAGTTTCCCAGACTTTAGTAAATTAAACTAAACTCAAACCAATAAGCTTAAAGTAAATTGTAAGACGATGGATTAACTTTAGTGGTTTAGAAGATACTGAAGATGTTAGAGAATTAGTATGTCCCAGGCCCTATGAGGATTTACAGTTTAAGGAACCCTGACTTGGAGTCAGACCAGCTGGTCTGGTATCAGCTGGACTCTTGATACTATTTGTCCTTGTTGCTGTGATCCTGGTCTGCTAATCATTGCTACAGTTCATGGGGATTTATACAAGATTTCTTGGATTAATAAAAGGCGCTACATTTTTTTCACATAAAACCACTAGCTATTTTTAGTATTCTCCATGTCTGTGGACATTTTCTGTAGTGAACACTTTCATCATGGAAAATGAAACTATTGTATGATTCTTAATTAAGTGCATGTGGACTATCCTTTAATTGGTAATTAGCCTTTGGCGCAGTGGTTTTAGTATGTGTGCATTCACACTCGTGCTCTGGGGTCAGACGCACTTGAATTTGAATCCTAGGTCTACCACATGCTAGATGTATGACCTTTGGAAAGTTACTTAAACCTCTGTCTTCTTATTTCTGTAGCATAGGGTAATGAAGATTAAAAGAGAATGTGTGTGAAGTGTATGGGCATATGGCATGGTAGGCACTTTTCTCTCTGTGTCAATTTTGAAATTTCATTCTATGTCACGGACAAGAAGAGGAAAACTTTTGTAAGCTACACATTTATTCACTTAATGTGCTAAGTCTGGATAGAGACCATTTGCAAAGAAACAGAGTAAAAAAGGGATGTAATGTTTGTTGCTGTGAGCTATCATTTTTAAGGTTAGTTCATCTGTTTTTTAAGCACCAACTTGTATTGCCAGATCTTTAGAATTTGAACATTTAATTTTATGTGGCCCTGGGTATTGGCTTTGCATGTGTGGCCAGCAACTGGAGAGAGAGGAACCAGGTGAAGACTGTAAAACAGAGTTTATTGTGGTCATCCTGGCCCAAGCAGTCTTTCAAAAGTAAGTCTGAGTAACATATCACTTCTCTTTTACTACATAGAGATGAGAGAAAAAAAGCATTTACCTTAATGTTTAAAATTTTTTCATCTTCCTTGTTTGGTTTGTTTCTCCAGGTGCTGTTCCATCCCTGACCCACCTTTGTCGTTTGGAAATTCGGTCCAGTCTAAAACCAGAACACCTACGATCTGATTATTTTATCTGTCAGTTGCCACTTCCCAGAAGCCTACATAATTACCTGCTCTATGCAGAGGTCCTGAGGATGAACGAAGTTCCCGAACTGACAGTTATTCAAGATGGAGAAATCAGCGAAGCTACTTAACACTTAATCTGTCTTACTCTGAAAACCACCAAGACTTAAGAGGCATGGAGTACAAAGTCTTCATGATTTTAGAGGCACAAAAGATGATTTTTGTTTGAGTGGTTGGTTAGGTTTTTTATGGGTGGTATTAGTTCAATGCAATGAGGGCCTTCCTGGTAAAAAATATTATAAACCCGACTTATAGTACTTTATTACAGTTTCATCACCAGTAAATTTAATTTGATATTCATTTATCTAACCAGATGGTCCTTCTAGTGCTAAACATAGCATATTTCCACCTATGATTCTGTGTTTATGTAGGGCTATCAGCTTAGAATGGAAAGAATTAAAACTTCACTGGAAGCGTACACACAGTGGTGGAATTTATTGTTATTTTATTTGAGGTTGAACATCTCATATTTATAAAAGAATTATCTTATATTTCATTCTTATCTCTTCAGTCACTTTTGTGAAGAATTGTTATTGGTTTCTTGCAGGTAAACTCAGGAAAGAATTTTTTAAAAAAAGAATGTAGAAAATGAATCATTTTGCTCTTGTTTTTTTTTTTTTCTTTTCTTTTTCAGTTCCTTGATAGTCTCTTTGCCTAAAAAAGACTCTCTTTCTGCAAAGGCAAGAACAGACCTAACCTCAGTTAAAAAAAATTAGGTTGTTATTGGGATAAATAGGCATTTTGTCACACTTAAAATACTAATCGGGAGACTGGGAGGGCAGAAAGGTATGTATTGCTATGTCACTTAGTATCATATACAAACATTCAAGCTCCATTCAGCCTCCAAATCAGAGGGCAGCTTTGATCCTATGAAGCAATGATTGCCAATTCTATTAATATTATAGTACTTTTCTTTTTTATTATCTACATCGGTTGTCAAATAGTCCGTGAAATTTGGACCTCAGAGTCCTAGGTTAATGAGACACCGCCTCATTGATTTTACAGTTGCTCAGTCTGAATCTAGAGTCAGAAAGGACTGAATACTGGATCAAGTGAGCTATGATAAGAAGCTCTGGGGACCAACTTTGAGAGAAAGGTTATGAAAGCATTACTGTCATGATAGACAACTAGATGGGATCCAAAGGAGGTCAAATCTGTGTCCAGTTATGATCCTGTGGCTTAAAATAGATGGGAATGGGTCAGTGGGTCCGTCTCTGATGGTCCTTTGCTGTTGATAAAACCAGCGATGAAGGCAGGCCAAGTGATGGAGGCATTGTTAATGTCCAGAGGACCAAATGATGGAGACATTGTTAATGTCCAGACTGAACTCAGCGCTGGTTAGAACTATAGTTGCTGCCTGTGGAGTGGAGATAGAGTTTGAATGTGTGTATACAGGCAGAAATAGGATGGATATGGAAAACCAGGTGGAAATTCTGATACTTAATTTAATAAATTCCATGAATGTATGTACTATGTAGTATTTTTAAAGTGTTGTCTTAATCTTTATTTTTCCAAACTCTAAGTCTCTGATTTTTAGTATAACCAGTTTTTTCTTAGGGCTAAATGTACATAAAATGTTTACATTTGAGGATGAGTCTTTTCATGTGTTTTTGTTCATGTTCAAATATGTAATAAAAATTCAACTCTTTATAACTTATCATTGAGCTCATATTCTTAAAAGTCTGAAAATTAATATTTCAGAGACATTTAAAGCCCTTGGTATTAAATGATTTTACTCACTGTGTATAATATCTTTCAGACAATTTTATAATAAAATATTTATGAGTTTTATGACCTATAGCAAGGAATCAGTGAGAAATCCGAAAGTATCTAATGGTGGGTTAGTTAGAGTTACAGTTTCTGATCAAAATGAGACATCTAGTTAGTGTGATGCTTAGGCTCTGCCCTGCAGGCACAGTGCTTCAATACTGTTTAACATGGAGAGCCTAATGAGGAACCCCATGCAATAGTTCTCTAATGGTGGTACATATTACCAGAGCAGGACACAGGTCAGCCGTAATGACAGTTGCCAAGAGTTCACACTTCCTTGATCCGATGTTATCCTTTAAGTGTATTTCCTGCTGATCCTTCCTGTTTCAGGGTATCATTTGATATAAGTAGTAACCTGGACACTGTTTCTTTAAAATTTCCTCTCCCTTCACCAAGTAACAAGTGTTGATATGCAGCTTTCTATTGGCCCAACTTCCCAGAGATCAATTATACTCCTGTGTTCCATGATCACCTATGATTGATAATCCTTGATAGACAATCTGTGTCATATTTATATCATACTAGAGGCCCGGTGCATGGATTCATGCACTGGTAGGTCCCTTAGCCTGGCCTGTGCCCTCTCGAAATCCGGGACCCCTCGGGGGATGTTGGACTGCCAGTTTCGGCCTGAGCCCTGCAGGCCAGGCTGAGGGACCCCACTGGTGAACAAATCTGTTCACCGGGCCTCTAGTATGCATATAAAATCTTTGGTTAATCTCTTCCCACCCTCCCCCCTCCCCTCTTCCCTCTGAGATTCATCAGTCTGTTCTATGTTTCCATGCCTGTGCGTTGAGCATCTGCCCCCTGGTGGTCAGTGCTTGTCATAACTAATGGTTGAACAGTTGAACAGTTGTGTAGGCTTTTATACATGTACTAGAGGCCTGGTGCACAAATTCATGCACGGGTGGGGTCCCTCGGCCTGGCTGGTGATTGGGGACAATCAGGGCCTGTCTCACCCAATCCCGATTGGGTTGATCGGGGCCAGGAGGTTGGCCAGCCGGCCCCAATTGGGGCCGATCAGGGCCTGCTGGCCGGGGGTAGAGACCACGGGAGGTTGGCTGTGGGAGCGCACTGACCACCAGGGAGCAGCTCCTGTGTTGAGTGTCTTCCCCCTGGTGGTCAGTGCACATCATAGCGACCGGTCATTCAGTTGACCGGTCATAAAGGTCGCTTAGGCTTTTATATATATAGATAGATAACCAGTTGATAGCTCTAAGTCTATTCTTTACACCTAAGTCCATTTGTAACCTGTGTGAAAATTGCGATGTTTATGGATCTTTAAGTATTGTGTCAGGTACAGTTTGAAGACATATAAATATTTTTTTTGGTTAATCATCACCTGAGGATATTTCCCCCCATTGATTTTTAGACAGAGTGGAAGGGGGGAGGGGCAGGAGAGAGAGATAGAAACATCGGTGTGAGAGAGACACATTGATTGGTTGCCTCCTGCACACGCCCAGACCCAGGCTGGGATCAGGCTTGCAACCCTGGTACATGCCCTTGACTGGGAATTGAACCCAGACCCTTTGGTCTGTGGGCCAACACTCTAACCACTGAGCAAAACTGGCCAGGGCAACATGAGTTTTGTTTTGTTTTGTTTTTTAGTTAATCCTCATCTGAGGATATTTTTCCATTGATTTTTTTTTCTTTTTTAGAGAGTGGAGGGGAGAGAGAGGGACAGAGAGAGAGAGAAACATCGATGTGGAAGAGACACATGGATTGGTTATGCCCTTTGCATATGCCCCAACCAGGACCGGGGATTGAGCCTGCAACCAAGGTACAAGCCCTTGACCGGAATTGAACCTGGAACCGGCTAGGACTATATTTCTTAATCAATCATAGAAATATATGTTTGAACAGGAACTAACTATTCAGTACAATTATTGCCAGCAGGTGCCTACTCTATTTTGGAAAGACTTTAAATGGTGAAAATGGTTACAGGGCTAGTAAAGTTGCTAGTAATGTGGCCATTTTCAGTTTCATGTTCATTGTTTTAGATCTAACAATGTGAAGGAATGACCAGTAAGACGATGCACTGTCTTCTGATTTCACAAGTTCATCATCTATATAAAGCAAGTGGAAGCTGAGCTCACTTGCTTCATTCATATACTCAATTTAACGAGAATCTCTTAAGCCAAAGTGATCTCTAAGCTTTTCCTGTGATACTGGGAATACCTTAATGGTACCTAAGGTACTATGAATCCCCCTGAAATTTCCTGTACCAGAGCACTTGCCTCTTCCTTGCTCTCTTATCCCAAGTAGCCAGTTACACATAACAGGTATCAAGACTAATGTATATGTGAGAGCCCAAACCAAGAGATCTCATTACTCATGACTCTGTGACCTGGGGTAGTTATCTGAAAGGTAGCTGAGAGCGGTATACCTGCATCAGGAAAGGAGTGCTGCGTTCTATGAGCTAATGTTGGCTTTCTCAGTTTACACCTGCACAATCTTGCTATGATAAGGCTGTGTTTTATTACTTAAGGTAAATATGGCTTATGTTGGAGGGCTTAGAGTTTTGCAAGCATTGTTTTAAAAACTAGAGGCCCGGTGCATAGATTCATGCACTGGTGGGGTCCCTTGGCCTGGCCTGTGGGGATCGGGCCGAAACTGGCCTGGTGCATGGATTGGTCCAGGGTGTGTCCGGCCCATCTCGCCTAGTCCTTATTGGGGCCGATTGGGGCCAGGGAGGGACCCTGAGAGGGCTCCAGGGTGTGTCTGGCCCATCTCGCCCAACTCGATTGGCCAGACCCCAGCAGCAAGCTAACCTACTGGTCAGAGCGTCTGCCCCCTGGTGGTCAGTGCACGTCATAGCGACTGGTTGAACGGTCAGACACTTAGCACATTAGGGTTTTATTATATAGGATGATTAATTTTTGGCCTGGCCGGCGTGACTAAGAGGTTGAGTATCAACCTATGAACCAGGAGGTCATGGTTCGATTCCTGGTCAGGGCACATTTCCAGGTTGCAGGCTTGGTTCCTGGTGTGGAGTGTGCTGGAGGCAGCCAATCGATGATTCTCTGTCATCACTGATGTTTCTATCGGTTCCTTTCCCTTCCTCTCTGAAATCAATAAAAATATATTTTAGAAATGATTACTTTTTAAAAATTATTTTAAAACTATTATGCTTTTAAAATCATGATAGTTTTATAAACATGCTTCCCCCCCCTCTGTATCCTTTTTCATTGTTTTAACAGAACATGTAAGGGGAATTGAATATTCCTGTGTGCAACTGTTGAGATTTCTTGTTGTACTCTCTTTCCATGTTTCTCTGTTTGAGGTAAATTAGTCTGTTTATCCTCATCTGTATTTATTATTGTTATTAAATGACATGTGGTTATTAAAACACAATACCTTGCCATAAGTAAACTGTTTTTTGTTGTTGTCGGAGTCAATCAAAACCTGTGGTTTTAATGAGACAGGGAATTGGTTATGCTTAGTATTTTTGTCACATATTGGTAGAAATATATATGGCCATATTTGCAACAACATGCCAGTAATTTATGCTGAGGGGAGGCCAGTATGAATTATATTTTTTAATGAAAATACATACTTTGGGCACAGATGTTAAGTACATACCTTCTGCAGTTGCTTTAGTGAATAAAACATTTATATTTTAAATAAAAGGTATTTATTAACCTGCCCCTATGCTAATGAAAATCTGTAAAATTTTTTCATATAACCGTAACAATAGCACATTTAAAAAAATATTTTTATTGATTTCAGAAAGGAAGGGAGAGGGAGAGAGAGAGAGATAGAAACATCAGTGATGAGAGAGAATCTTAGATTGGCTGCCTCCTGCACGCCCCCTAATGGGGATTGAGCCCACAACCAGGGCATGTGCCCTTGGACCGGAATCTAACCTGGGACCCTTCAGTCTGTAGGCCAATGCTCTATCCACTGAGAAAAACTGGCTAGGGCAGTGATGGCGAACCTTTTGAGCTCGGTGTGTCAGCATTTTGAAAAACCCTAACTTAACTCTGGTGTCACATATAGAAATATTTTGATATTTGCAACCATAGTAAAACAACGACTTATATTTTTGATATTTATTTTATATATTTAAATGCCATTTAACAAAGAAAAATCAACCAAAAAAAATGAGTTTGCGTGTCACCTCTGACACGCGTGTCATAGGTTCGCCATCACTGGGCTAGGGCCAATAATAGCTTTAAGCTTTTCATTTTAAAAGAAAAATATTTTAAAACTCAGAGGAAAAAAAGGAGGAAGGGAGATGGAGTGGCAATCATTATCCACCCAGTATTAATGTTAACCTATATGTTCGAATATTCTCTTAATACCTCAGTTTTAAAAAAATCTGCATAGAAGTTTGAGGAATATTTTTTGTCTTAGCCAAAACACCTCTATAATTCTGTAGTCTGATGAAGTCTTTTCTTAATCCTGTTAATGATATCTGTATCCAAGCCCAAGCCGTGAGATATCACAAATTCTGAATTGGTAAGAATGAGAAATAATGAGGCAGTTCTGGGTTGAATTTTTTCCCCCTTAGAAATCTGCATAAAGCAAACAATCCCTTCCTCCTATTTGTAAAGAAAAGGTGATATCTTTGTGAACCTGAGCTAGTCATCTGGTCTCAGCCCAGGATAGTCATACAATGCATATCTGTTGCACAACTATTATAACTGTATTGTACCTATTTTTAATGAAGGCATTAAAAATACCATTGTTGCAGTAAAGATTAGTGTCTGCATGATTTTTCTCTCTTGGCTTCTTTTTCATGCATAGCACTAATAGTGAAGCGGAACAGGTGGTAATTGTCACTGGCACACTGAGACTTGTGAATAGCATCTGTTTGTC